TTTATTTTTATTTAATACGTTTTAAGTGATGGTATCAGTATACAGTATGTGATGTTTTATATCGGTTTATTATTGTTTAAAGATTATTTACATTATGATATTAGAATATATGCTGAACAATACCAGTCTGTTCAATTTAAATATCATTTACATGATGATATAAGTATAAATGATGTTTTTTTTATTGTTTATATATTTTATCTATTTATTGTTACTTAAATATTGTTTATATTATGATATCCGCGTATAGGATGTCCGATATCGGTCTGTTCCATTAAAATATTATTTACGGGATGATTTAAGTATATATGATGTTTCATATCGGTTTGTTGTTATTTATTTTTGTTTTTATATTAGTATATATGATGTACAAAATCAGTCTGGTTTATGTAAATATTAACATGACAATTTTAGTACATATGATGTATTTTATCGCTGTTTTATTTAAATATGTACACGAGGTAAGTATTTTAAGTGATTTCCGTATTTTTTACTACGTGGTGATAAAGGTGATACATGATTTATGATGTCAGTTAATGGTCATTTCAGGATTATTTACTCGATTATGATGTTATTATTTTTCATGCAAAATGTCGGCTCGTTATAATTTAAATACCATTTATTTTATATGAGCATTTATAACGTGCGATACTGCTTTGTGTAATCGCAATCATATTTAAATCATGTCGTCAGTATGTATAATGTAAAATATCAACCTGTTTTGTTTACACTTTATGCATAATATCGTTCCATTTAAATATTTTACTTGTTTCCGTAAGTATTAATAATGCGTAATTCAGTCTGTTAGTTAAATATGAGTTACACGATTATATAAAATACAAATGACATTATGTCTAATATCGGCTTATTATTATCTAAATATTCACTAATTATATCCATATATGTTATGTATAATATCGACTTACTGCTCTAGAAATATTTAGTATTACGATGTTTGAAACTGGTCCTTTAAATTTATATCGCATTTCCACGACGATACAAGTATATATATATGAAGACAATACCATTTTTACGAATTTAATATAATTTACATGACGAGTAATTATTATGTATAAGTATAAATATGTACGTATTTGTGTGGTATAAATTAATTGTATTTACACGGCGTTATAAGTATATATGACGTACGGTATCAAGTTTATGTTATTCAAATATTGTTGTGCATGTCATGACAGAAGTGCATGTAATTTAGAATTTCAGTTTCCTGTCAACTAAATATGACTTATTTGATGAGATAAGTACATACGATGTACAAGTCATTTACACGATATTACGTAAGTATACACAGGACGTGCAGTTTCCGTCTCTTTTTTTTTTCAATAGCATCTACATGACGCTATAGGGATTGAGGATGGGTCAGGTTTATTTATGATTTAAATAGTGTTTTCGGATGTGATATACTGTAAGCAGATATGATGCGCAATACCAGTCTGTTCTATTAAAAGATTATTTACAAGGCGTGGTAGATACCGGCGATCTAACATTGACAGCACCAGCGTTTTATTTTAATACTCTTTACAGGGCGCTATAGTATAACGAACACTATCTATTATTATTATTGATATTATTATTATTATTCTTCAGGCGGATCAGACTCTGATGAGGAGGAGGATCCGGAGGCCGCTCTCACGCGCTGCAGGCGGACAGGAGGGCGAGCCCTCGGGACACACTGGGACACCGGGACACACCGGGCGCCTGGACCCGAGCTGGCCTCCCCGCGAGCTGCGCCCCACTGCGCCCCGGCGAGCGCGAGCTCCAGCGCGAGCGGGGCCGTGTTTCTGTCCCGCAGTGGAAAAGACACGCTGTTTTTATCTGTTCGCTTCCCGCTGTGCGCCGAGACTGGATTATTATTATTATTACTATGGGTATTGTTTTTGCTCCTATTGATACTGTTAATTGTACTATTGTCACTAATTCTGTGATGATGAACCCTGCGGTTTTGTTATTGTCGTTCTGAATTGCTGTTCTTGCCGCTGCAGGGGGCGAGGCGCCTCCAGCCTGACTCCGCTCACACACTGTCGGCGCCCCCGCCTCGGAGCGGCCCGCTCGTCTCACACCGCCGCAGCATCCTTCTCCGGGGCCGCCTTTTCCTCGCGTGTCCGTGTGTGTGTATGGTGGGTCAGTGTGTCTATGGTGTGTAACTGTCCTGCAGTGTGCTGGTACGTGGCGCGTCAGCCTGTGGGTTCAGTCTGCTACCCGGCTCCACTCCCCTGTCAGCCGCACAGAAGCACACAGTCAGAGATACACACACCGTGTGTGTGTGTGTGTGTGTGTGTGTGTGTGTGTGTGTGTGTGTGTGTGTGTGTGT